TTGTAGGTTCTGTGGCTGAACCGTGTCAATGAACCTTAAATCTTCTAGATTTCTTACCCAACATCTACAAGTCAGATTGTTTGTTTTGTCTTCTTTATATTTTTTCTCTTCATTGAGATTTTTATTTTGGGGTTTGAGTTTCCTTATATACAACCATTTCTTTCCCTCAGCCTAGGTGGGATGTCCCCTCTCTGTCAAACTTCTGGTAGACATAAGTATGTGACCTTCCTTCACTCAGACTTAACAGGGGTCATGTTCATGATTTTCTCTTTTTGAGGGATAGATTGATTATATTCAAAGGTTCATGTATATTTAGAGTGAGACGTGAAGCCCCCAGAGGCTGTGAGAATAAGGGTGACGTGATCTGATGTGTGTTTCCACAGCGTGGCTCTGACTCTGTGTTGAGCAATGACTGAAGTCTCAGGGATTTTAGCAGGGAGAAGAATTAAGTGGCTTTGACAGTGACTCACGTGAGATGCTGGCATGTCACGAGTGGAGTTGATGAGAAGTGGTCAGAGTCTAGATACATCTGCAAGGTTGAGTTGATAGGATGAGATGATAGGATTGGATGTGGGGTTTGAGAAAATAATGGCGAGAATGATGATGAAAATGCTTTTGACCCGTGCAGGAGTGGAATTGCCACTAAGCCAGTGAGGCTTGGAAGGAGTGGGCTGGGGAGAGAAGATTGTAGTGTAATTGTTTTATTGTGATAAAAAACATACAATATAGCATTTGCCATTTTAACAGTTTTTAAGTGTATGGTTCAGTGGCAGTGTTCACTTGATGCAGTCATCGTCACTGTTTCCAGAAAATTTTCTTCACTCCAAAGTAAAACTTGGAACTCATTAAGCAACAACTCGCCATTCCCCCCCAACCCCTGGCCCCCGGGAGTCTGTTCTGTTTTCTGCCTCTGTGAATTTACCTATTCTAGATATTTTATGTAAGTAGAGTCATACAATATTTGTCTTGTATATCTGGCTTTTTTCACACACACACTGTTTCCAGAATCATACATGTTGTGTATTACAGCCTCCCTACTTTTTATGGCTGAATAATAATATTGTATTGCTCGTAAACACCAGATTAATCACATCCATTCATTTATTGTTGGGCATGTAGGCAGTTTCCACCCTTTGGCTCTTGTGAATAATGCTGTGATGAAAATTCTCACACAAGTATTTGAGTCCTTGTTTTCAATCCTTTTTGGTATATACCTTGGAGTAAGTGTTTTGACTGTGTGGGTTTTTGGGTTTAACTTTTTGAGGAACGACCAAACTGTTTTCCACAACACTGGCATCATATTTAAAAATCAACATTGGTTATTTTTCACGTTTTTGATTATAGCCAACCTAGCAGGTATGAAGGGGTGTGTATCTCATGGAGGTTTTGTTTTGGATTTCCCTATCTAGTGATGTTGAGCATGTTTTCATGTGCTCATTGTCCATTTGCTTTTCTTCTTTGGAAGGAATGTCTATTCAAGTTATTTGCCCATTTTTAAAGATTTATTTATTTATTTGACAGAGAGATCACAAGCAGGCAGGGAGGCAGGCAGAGAGAGAGGGAGAGGTATGCTCCCCGCTGAGCAGAGAGCCCGATGCAGGGCTCGATCCCAGGACCTTGAGATCATGACCTGAGCTGAAGGCAGAGGCTTAACCCGCTGAGCCACCCAGGCACCCCTGTTTGCCCATTTCTAAAAAAGATTTATTTATTTATTTATTTATTTATTTATTTATTTTAGAGGGAAAGAGAGTGCGAGAGCACAAGCAGGAGGGGGAGAGGGAGAAAAGCCCAAGCAGATTCTGTGTTGAGTGTGGAGCCTGGCACAGGGCTCAGTCCCAGGACTCTGAGATCACGACCTGAGTTGGACACTTAACTGACTGAGTCACCCAGGCACCCCTGCCCATTTTAAAAATGAGCTGTTTGTCTTTCTCTTGTTGTTAAGGTGTAGACATTCTTTATGTATTACGGATATTAAATGCTTCTCAGATATATGATTTGCAAATAATTTTCTCCTATTCTGTGGTTATCTTTTTCATTCTCTTGATAGTATTTTTTCATGCATCAAAGTTTTTAATTTTGATGAATTCCAATTTATTTATTTATTTGTTTTCTTTTTGCCTGTGCTTTTGGTGCCCTATTTAAGGAACTGTTGCCAAATCCAGGGTCACGAAGATTTTCCCTTTTGTTTTCTTCTGAGAGTTCTGTAGCTTTAGCTCTTAAATTTAGTTCTTTGATCCACTTTGTGTTAATTTTTGTATGTGGTATAAAGTAGAGGTCCAATATCATTTTTGTCTGTGGGTATCTAGTTCTGCCAGCACCATTTGTTGAAGACACTATTCTTTACATGTGAATGGTGTTGGCACCCGCCCTGCTCAAAAATCAGTTGACCTTAGATGTGAGAGTATTTCTGGGCTCTCGACTCTATATTAATTTCTGTTCTTATGCTGACCTCGTACAGTGTTGATTACTGTAGTTTTATAGTAAGTTCTGAAATTGGGAAGTATCAGACCTCCAGCTTTGTGTTTCTTCTTCCAGATTATTTTGGCTGTTTTGGGTTTTCTTGGAATTCCATATAAATTTGGGATGTGTTTTTCCATTTCTACAAAACTCACCATTGGGATTTTGATAGAGATTGCATTAAAGGTACTTTAGATAGTCTTGTCATTTTATGATATTAAATTTTCCAGTGCATGAATGCAGGATGTCTTTACATGTGTTTAGGTCTTTTCAAATTTCTTTCATCATTTTTTAAAAAAATTTCAGCGTTTGGTGTTTTGCATCTTTTTTATTAACTTTATTCCCAAGTATTTTATTCTTTTGGACACTAATATAAATGAAATTATTTCTTTATTTTCTTTTCTGATCATTATTCATGTATAAATACAACTGATTTTTGCACATCGATTTTTGTATCTTGTGACTTTGCTGGATTCATTTATGAGTTCTGTTTTTCTGGGTTCTTTAGAGTTTTCTGCATATAAGATCATCTCATTTATGAGTAGAGATAGCTTCACTTCTTTTTCAGTTTGGGTGTCTTTTATTTTATTCCATTTTTCTTGCCTAATTCCCTGACTAGAACAGTGTCTCAGTTTTGGACGTGTCAAATTCAAGATCCTTATTAGACCTCCAGATGGCCCTCCTTATCATGTAGTGAGTAGAATATTTGAGTCTGGGTGTCAGGTTTGTGCTAGAGATATGAACTTGGGAATTGTCAGCTTGTGGCTGGCATGTAAATCCATGAGGCTGTGTGAAGGATCACCTGGAGAGGCGGGTGCAGGTAAAGAAGGGTGAAGCCGTGGGGAGAAAGCCTAGCATTGGAGAAGTCAAGAGGTTTCCTTGTCCATTCCCCTTCCCTCTTTGGGTGATTTTCCACAGATGAAATTCCACTGGCATCTTTTGGATGGTTCTACAGAAGAAAATGGGTGTCGTGGAAGGAGCACCTGTTGGACTTTATTTGGGGCTCATTACATTCCTGGGCCTGCATAGCTTTCCTTCAAGGATAACACTGAGGATCACAATCAGGTTCCACTGGAATCTCCCTTGGTGATTATAGACTCCTACATAAAGGCCTTGTCTTCCAACTCAGCCCACAAAGCTGTGCTGTGGTTGTTTGCTTTGTATCCAAAGCAAATGAGGGCTAACAACAGACTCTCTTGGAGGGACAACTGCAAGAGGTCAGTGATCCTCAGAGTTACCACATCTGACACTTCTTCGAGTATCTTTTTTTGGGGGGAAATCTTTTTTTTTTTTTTTTTTTTTAAGATTTTATTTATTTGTCAGAGAGAGAGAGAGAGCACAAGCAGGCAGAGTGGCAGGCAGAGGCAGAAGCAGGCTCTCTGCTGAGCAAGGAGCCTGATGTGGGACTCGATCCCAGGATTCTGGGATCATGACCCGAGCAGAAGGCAGTGGCTTAACCGGCTGAGCCACCCAGGTGCCCCTGAGTATCTTTTTGATTCATATTATCTCTTCATGCTCTTTCCTCCACTTTCCCCAGATACACCCGTACAGCGCACAGGCTCCTTCGACTCCACCGTGTGTGTCCACACTAGTCCTTTAAATGCCTTTTGTTCCTTCTTCTCATTTACGTGCATGGTCCTTCAAGACACACTCAGTGTGCGATGGTTAGCTCATGGTTTCACTGCACAGTTGGTTGCATTCAAAGTGTTTCATCTCAGTTACAAAAATGTATGGATAGTGTGAGTCCATTTTATTTTAATTATATATATATATATACACACCCTCCCATGGAAGGAACATTTGGCAGAATATAAACTAAATTATTGGACAATAGTCTTTTCTGGATGGTAGAATTATAGGGGAATTTATATTTCTAATGATGTATTTCCAAAGCATTTAACATACGTGTTTTTTAATGCCATCAGCATGTGTCTATGTAAGTAAAAAAAAGTATTTAAAAACTTACTTAAAAAAAAGGAACTTTACAGTTCCAATTAATAGCAGATGCTAACTCATGAATAAGCAGTCCCATTATCTGAACTTCTGGGTGTGAGAGGTTAAAGCATTTAGGGACCCAGGCACCAGGACCACGAGCAGTATTGTGTATGTGTGACTGAGGCAGGGCTAGAGTTGTATAGAAACTGGAAAATAGGTCTTTAGCCTGAATAAAATGGCGTCTTACCCTCTTCTTCCTCGCTGATACCTAAGCAGGATGGCACATTTAGAGGTCCGCTAGCTAACTAGGAGAATGGACTTCTGGGGGAAGTATTTCTCTCCGCCCCCCCTCCCCCGCCCCGCTCCTCTACCTCATGTTCGGGAATTATTTTGGATTGGTTTGGGATAGTATCTGAATTTATATCTCTCGGGCTGTTCTTTTTTTTTTTTTCCAGGAATATTAAGTTTTTTTACTTTGATATATGCTTAAATGTTTATTTTTTAAGTGATGTAACTTTTCAAAAAATGTATTAAAGTTAATTTCTGTGGGAAAAAATGTTTTTTATACTTCTGACTGTTTTTTGTTCCTTCTCTTTTGAAATCTCTAGCCAACAAGAACATTAGTCATGACAAGCATGCCATCTGAGTAAGTACTCATTGTTTTGATAACTTTCTACTCAATGTAAAAATTTTAGATTTTTCTTTCATATACTGTGATGCTGCATGTTTAAGGCAGCCCATAGCTTTGTGCCGTTTTGCTGTTACTCTGTACAATTGGTGTTGGAGTTAGAAGAACCCTGGAAGTAAAAAACGGTGGTTAGAAGCCTATGAGCAGGTTAGCGCTGAAGACTTTGTGAGTTGTTTACGCAGCATTAGGAGGGATTCCGGTGTTTTTCTCTTCCTCGTGTTTGTTTCATATGTACTGTCTCTGTGTGTCCACCACTTCTGCCCCACGAAAGTCCAGTAAATGGAGCATCACTGGCTGATTCCCTCAAAGTTCTTAAAGGAACACTTTGCTGGGACACTCTTTACAACGCTATTAAAGCCATTATCCACACATTTTGGGAAAGAGTTAATAGCTTGCTGGCACGCTCTTATCATCTTCCTTAAACATTTAACACAATATATAGCACATCCAACAAAAATACAGCACCATATTCTTTGTAACAGATTTTTGAATTCCTGTTTAAAGGGGAAAACCATGTTTTGTTTTTTATATCAATCATATGTTTTAAGGTTTTAAGGCATTCATCAAAACATTGGGACATTTCAGTGAAAAATAGCCTGTAAAAAAGTGCATGCTTGTAATACTTGATGTTGTAGGATCCTTTTCCTACTGATGGCATATGAGATCAAAAGGACCAGTAGTTCAAACACCGTATATTAGCTAGTGTAAAAAGAGCACACTCACGGTTTTTGTTGATCTCTTATGAAATATACTGAACATTCTAAATCATCTAATATGGAAGCCAAAATTGAGTGTGGTCAGTGTGATATTTTTTAAAATCTATATTTTTGCCCCCAATATAAAACACATTAGTAAATAGTTATTTTCTCCATCAGAGTTTTAAAAATCAAACTTTTCATTTAGGCCATATTCTCTTTTTATCCGCTCCCCCCCATTTATACTTCTTGTCTGGACTTAAAAACAAAAGACCTAGACGTTCTGATGCCACAGTGATCAGCTGTGTCTCGAAGAGACACTTGTGGCTGATTAACACGTCTGGCAAATAGCAGGCGGCTGCCAGGCTTAGAACAGGAAAATCATCGATATGTGGAGATGAAGGGCTCTGGTGAGCATATGGTTAGAGCTTTTCACTTCCTTATGCTTTTGTTTTCTTTGTGTTTTCCCTGAATTTAATATTTTCCATCACCCCAATAAGCACTGATTCTATGTTGAAGTGCTGATAGGGCTGGGGTCTTGCCCCATCTGTTTTTTTTTTTTGCCATAGGGATCTCGTAGAATTTAGAGTGTGATTCAGTACCACCCTTTCGTTTCACTTGTAAGGAAATAGGTCTTGAGATTGACATGCCCAAGATGGTAGAGATAAAACTGGGAAGGACTGTGAAGCCCGTGGGGCAATGTTAGAGGTGGTCGTTGCAGGGGCAAGGACAACCTCTTTCTCTTCATATTAATTTTTAGAGAGAAGAGAAATGTATCTCTTAACTCACCAAATAGGTTATAGTGACTTAGAAAGCCCTTCATGTCCTTTATATTTCACTGGGGATTTCCAAAATTCTGGGAGGGAGAGGGAAGTGCAACGTGTCAAAGCCAAGGGCTTTAGTAAGGTAATTGTAAAAGGAGGAGAGGAAAAATGGTAAACAATTTGGTGAGGAGGTTAGATGGTAAGGATATATATTTCTTAAAAGGTACTTAAGGCACTAATGGAATGGCAGACCAGAAGACAAATGATGATGGGTTTTGCAAAAATAAGGAGCCTCTGCCAAATTAGCCCCAAGGCTTGAGCTGATAATGTAATGAAAAGGGCCTTTTCCTGGCTCTTACTAGAAAAAACTGTGGTGTGAATTCAAATAAATGTTATACTTCAAATAAAATAAGCAAGTAATAAGCTTGGTCCAGGTTGGTTCAGATCTCTCTGAGGTGGGAAGAGCTGGGGCCAATCCTGATGCTAGCTGTGTTCCCACCCGTGGATGAAGCCACTTGAGCCTGGGGCAGCTTTGTCAGATTTTGTTTTTTGTGTTTTTTTTTTTTAAGATTGTATTTATTAAAAAAAAAAAAAGATTGTATTTATTTATTTGACAGAGAGAGATCACAAGTAGGCAGAGCAGCAGGCAGAGAAAGGGGGAAGCTGAGCAGAGAGCCCAATGCGGGGCTCAATCCCAGGACCCTGAGATCATGACCTGAGCCGAAAGCAGAGGCTTAACCCGCTGAGCCACCCACAACTGACAACAGCTTTGTCAGTTGTTAAAATAGACAGTTGGAGCTGAGAACTGAAGTTTTTTTTTCTTTCTCCATACTTTAAGGCATTGATTATAAATAAATTAAAATGTGAGCTCCGTAGCTGAGATCAACGTCGAATTTTAGCTTTCTATTTTTTTAAAAAAAATTGTTCTTCAGTATAACCACCTTGATGTTCATATGTAGGAAACATAGTAATCTGTTGATTTTTTCCCCTCCTATTTGTCAGAAAGCAGAACATTGTCATCCAGGTTGTGAATAAGTTGAAGGGCTTTTCATTTGCCCGGGAAGTTTGTGGCACTACCACCCATGTGCTCGCCGGGAATCCCCTGCGTACCCTGAATGTGCTGCTGGGAATCGCTCGTGGCTGCTGGATTCTCTCTTATGAATGGGTAAGCCGTTGTGTAAGCAGCTGTTGCAAGTACATATATGAAAACAGAAGCTAGATATGGTCATCTGAGGCAGTGACACTAGATCACTTGATTTGCACTCGTGTGACTTTGCACACTTTCCTGTGAGTGGTGAATCCCGCTCCTGTTCTCTCCTTGAACTCTTCTCCCTTTGGCCCAGCACCTCCAGCCACTGCTGATCCCTTGGGAACGGGAGTGTGGTGAGGACCAAAAGCAGAAGAGTGGCCTTCTGGATACAGAGCTCAGCCACTGGCAGAAATAAGATTAGAACAGGCTTGGAATGAAAACACAAAATGCGTGTTCTCACAGTCAAATGAACTTTCTTCTGTGTTTGACCAAGAAATAATGTGACCTATGTTAGTGATGGTTTAAAAAGCCAAAAGAATTCAGTGATTGTTTTTACAGATGGATTTACTTAGGATGAAACATGTTCATTTAATCCCATTTGGATATGTTTTATCTTACGCATATCTGTCTGTAACATTGCTTGCCCTTATTTCTGCGCATTAAAGGTAGTTTTTTAAAAAAAAATCATTGTTTTCACTATTCATAGAAACTAAGATTGTTTGTTACTCTTTCTATTTTTACTTTGATCCTCAACCTATGGTTCCTCCAAAGCATTGCTGTCTGATGAAAGTACTGTCATTTCTTACTTGTGTTACTATACTGAATATGCCACATATCCACCTTCCCCTTCTTCCTCCTCCCCCTAAGAATGTATTATATTAATACTGTGTTAATTTAAGCCAGTAGGACTATAATACGCAAACAAACTACAGATGTATTTTTAAGAATGGTTGTGGTCTTTTTCCTGTGTCATGACTTAACCCCGCAGCTCTCTGGTATGAGATGTTTGTGACTTTGTGCTTAAAGTCATGAAGTGGAAAAGTTTTAAATTCCCCCCCAAAAAGTACTATTTGCATTGGCAGCAACTGGGGACTACCTTACCTAATTGTATATTTGTACTGATTCCCATTTATTTGTAAGAAATATGATCTATAACTCCATGAATGAATACCCTGTATTCCTTTTCTCCAATTCTCAATCTTTCTGGGTCTTTATCAATCAGCTCTTCCTTCCCTCATGTCTCAGAGGAAAAAATGTTCTTTATCATTTAGGAGGACATACATCTGTGCTTGATTCTGTACCCAATCTATTCTTCTGGGACGTTGAGCAGGGAGGTCAGACATGAGAATCAGTATTTACTGTTGCCATGTGTAAAGACCAACTCCCTGGATGCATCCTTGTTTCTGCTTAGTGTACTGCCAATATTCTCCCACTAATCCTACATAGACACAGAGCCAGATGCAAATTTAGCATATGGTAACTATATGTGGGATTAACTACTACACATGAGAAAGGCAGGAAGTGGAACATATTTGGGGAACTTCCAGGGCTGAGGCAGAACCTGGGCCACTTGTCACATGAGTGAATAAATGAAGTACAACTACAATAAGGTGAGAAAATGAAATTAAAGTTAAAGAGGTTAAAGAGGAAGAAATGGTACTGTGGCTCTTCAGACACCATGATCATCCATGTAGACAATCACAAGAAATCTGTAAAAAAGCTCTTAGAACAAATTGCCAAAATACAAGGATATAATAATACAGGGTCGACACTGAAATACTCAAGTGTAAATCTGACATAAAAATATGTGCAGAATCTGTATGCTGAAAACTATAAAACATTGGTTAAAAAATTAAAGAATAAATGGAGAAGCATACTATGTTCATGGATTGGAAGACTCAGTATAGTTAAAATGTCACTCCTCCCTAAAACAATCTATAGATTCAATACATTCCCAATTAAAACCTCAGCAGAATTCTTTGAAGATATAGATAAGCTGATTCTAAACTATATACATATACTTGTATATGTATATAACTATGACATATATACATATATATATATATATAGAGAGAGAGAGAGAGAGAGGAACTAGCATAGTTAAAACAATTTTGAAAGAGAGGAACAAAGAGGACTAATATGATCTGATTTTTAAGGCATCCTTTAAAGTCTCTGTAATCAAGGCAATTCAGTGTCTGGGAAAAGACAGACATAATGAAACAGAATGTAGAGTCCAGAAATAGACCCACAAATATGGCCCACTGGTTTTTGACCAGGAACCAAAGTCAGTTCAGTGGAGGAAGGTGAGTCTTTTCAGTAAAAGGTGCTAGACATCCGCAGACGAAAACTGGATCTGTGCCTCACACTGTATGCAAAGATTACCCCCAAATGGATCAGACTACAATGTAGACTATAAAACTCTAAAAAGTACATAGGATATGACCCAGGTTTAGGTGGAGAGTTCTTTTTTATTTATTTATTTATTTATTTATTTATTTAAGAGAAAGGGAGAGAGAGAGAACGTGATTAGAGGAGGGACAGAAGGAGAGGGAGAGTCAGACTCCCCGCTGAGCATAGAGCCTGATGCAGGGCTTGATCCCGGGATGCTGAGCCCACGACCTGAGCCAGAGTCAGATGCTGAGCTGACTGAGCCCCCCAGGCGCCCCCAGAGCTCTTAGATACGACACGTGAAGCATGATATGTAAAATGAGAAGTGATAAATGACACTTCGTCAAGTGTAAAAACTTACACTCCATGAAACACATTCTAAGCATTTGCATAGCTCATCTGACAAAAGACTTAAATCCAAAATATATAAAGAACTCTCAAAACTCAAAAATAAGAAACAACCCAAACAAAAAATAGCCCAAAGCTTTTTTTGAACACCCTGTCAAAGATACGCAGATGAAAAATGCTCAACATCATTAGAGAAATATGATTTACAACCACGGGGAGATACTGCCGCATATTTAACAGGGTGGCTGGATTATGAAGTACAGCGACAATCCTCTAGAAAAGAGGGAGAACATCGTACACGGCTGGTGAGGGTGGAAGGTTGTTCCAAATCATGGCTGGGAAATTTTATGTGATGTTGAATGTATCCTCACTGTGTCACTGAGCAACCCAGCTCCTAGGTGTTTGCCCTAGAGACGTGAAAGATCACGTTCATACAAAAACCTGTACATGAATATCATGAATATTTGTAGCAGCTTTGCTTATAATCAGCAAAACCTGACAACAGCACACATGTCCCTTGGTGGGTAGAGGGAAAAATAAACTTCTGTACTGTGGAATACTGCTCAGTAATAAAAGGCAGTTGTGAGAGGGACGCCCCCGTGACTCAGTCAGTTAAGTGTCTGACTCTTGGTTTCGGCTCAGGTCACAATCTCAGGGTTGTAAGATCAAGCCCCACTTCTGGCTCTGCACTCAGCATGGAGTCTGCTTGTGCTTCTTTTCTTCTTTTTCTCCCTCCCCGTCTTATCCCACCTTCACTCTCTCTCGCTCTCCCTTTCTCTCTCAAATACATACATACATACATACATACATACATACATACATAAAATCCTATTTAAAAAAAAAAGACAACCATGATTCTTGCCACAGCTTGGATGACTCTCTTGCGCTGTGGACTCCCTGCTGGTGGACCAGCTGACTGCAGGATAGGATGGTCCTCTTCTCTCTTTGCAGGGCTGCCCAAGCTCCATTTCAACCAGCTGCACCCCCATCTCCCACAGAACCCCGGCTTCTAGGTGTTGGGCTGCTGGGGTTCCCAGACGGGTCTTAGGTCCAGTCTTCGAGGCCCTGACTGCTACAGTGAGGGCGGGATCCTGAAGGCAGGACCATTATGTTTGAGGAATAATAAGAAGGCTCGGTGGGGACTCACCAAGAGAAAAAGTAGGAGATGAGACAAGAGAGCCAGCGGGTGAAGGGAAGCTTGGCCATGGTAGTATTTGGATAATGTTCCTGTGTCATGATGAGCTATCAGAAAGTTTCTGTTCAGGGAGCAAGATGCCCTGAGCTGTGTTTTTCAAAGGATGGTGGCTCCCTCTGGCTGGGTACCAAGTGATGGTAGCACCAGGAGCCCACATGTCACCCATGGATCCTTGCCAGATACTCAGCCAACTCAGCCAGAAGCAATTCTCTTAAATAAGCACAAGTGATACCACCTTGAATAATTTCTTCTTCTAAGGAGTCCATGGTACTGTATGCATTTCATGTGACTGCTGTAACACATTGCCATAAATTTATTGGCTTAAAACTAGCACATATTAAAAAAAAAAAAAGTAGCACACATTTATTCTCTTATAGTTTTTTGGAGGTCAGGAGTTCAAAATAGGTTTCTCTGGGCCCAAGCCCAGGTGTTGTCAGGGCCGCATTCCTTCCAGAATCTCTAGGGGGAGTCTGTTTCCTACCTTTTCCAGCTTTTAAAGGCCACCTGCTTTCCTTGGCTTATGGCCCCTGGCAGGAAGTGACTTCTGCTTCTCTTATCACACCTGCTCTGATTTCTGGCCTCTGTCTTTCACTTATAAGGACGCTTGTGTTCTCATGGGGCCAAGCTGGATAACCCAGGACAGCTCCCCATCTCAAGGTCCTCAACTTCATTGCATCTGCAGTGCTCCTTTCACCATGGAAGGTAACACATTCACAATTCTGGGGGTCAGCTGTGGATGGCTTCTAGGGGGTGCATCATTCTGGAGTCCCATATGTACGAGGATACTAACTCCATAAGCACCATATTATCCACTTCGCTGTACCGCAGGTTGATGACTTTTAGTCGGTAGGAGAAGCTTTAATCTGTAGGAGAAGCTTCAAGACAGCTTAGAAGGACGCTAGAGTAGATGCCTGTGTGAAGAGGCAGAGCTTGGAGTGATGAATCTATGAGCAAGGAACGCAGAGGGTTTCCAGCAGCCAAGGGAATCTTGGACCAGATCCTCCCCTAGAGTGTCTGGAAGGAACCAGCTTTGCCAATACATCTACTTAAGACTTTTTGTCTTCAGAATTGGCTTTGTGGATTATAAACAAGAAGAAAGACAGTTGAGAAATAGAGAACATTAAGAAAATAAAAATAAAGAAGAAATGCCTACAAAAAGTATAAAATAGATTGCCTTAGGTCTCTAACTATTTTGAAGGTGTTC